CGCTCCCGAGCAGAGGATTACTCGTTCTAGAGGGAACGCCGAGAACCATCCCCATGTACAACCTAGAGTTCTCGAATATCGAAAATATACCAAGAAATGATTATATTAAGAATCCGGTTGATTGTAACGGTTTGCTTTAAGATGTAATCACATATTAGTGGTAAAATGTGTAAATATTATTGGCATTAGGTTTAAGTTTCATTGAACACATACGGCGTACTTAAATTAGTAAATAAAAGTTTTGTAAACGGGCGTCTGACCAATGTATTGCTTGAGAATGTAAATTAAGAAGAGTATATGGACGTCAGACGATAGACTTGTGTTGACTTATCGTAAAAAAAAATACACTGTTCATAACATGTATCCCAATCAATTTCCAATGCTTAATAGGTGTGTCAATTTTCATTAATAGGTGTGTAAAGTTTCATTGGTAATAGTAGGATGTCAAATATGCTTATGGATGTAAATGTTGTTAAACGATAGACACCATTTTGTGTATAATTTCAAGGTAAACATACGGATCACAGGTGTATAGGACCGTTACTTGTAATATTTGGCGAATAATAATAGTGTATGCAAAGCGAACAGATATAAGGATGTATATATATATAATGGCTCGTCTCGTTTTTGTTGGCGTGGATAAGTGTATCCACTGGTGGGGGGAAATGTTGTGACCGCCACAACATGGTAGAATCGATTTTCTATTTTCGTTACTTACTTTGCGTTTCATTCTGTATATATATTTACCATAGCTGTATTAAATAATTAGTTCAGAGTGAACTGAAAAGATGGTTCTCGTTGTAATAGTTGGAAGTAGGGTTCTGGGTACGAGTTAGTAAGAGACAGGCTGTCACGTGTGAAAGTTCTCAAGTTTATGCTCCTCGAAAAATAAGTGTATTCATTATCCTTCGCGTACTACCAAAACTATCGATTACATTGGCTTTGTGGTGTGGTAGCAGCGCAGAAAATTGCGGTAGCGTATGCGCCACAACATCGTGATTAATAATTTTATTAAGCTATGTCATACAAACGTTCCTGAAGCTTCTCTGAATAATCCCACTCTCTATGAATCATGAATGTTTGGTACATGACCTTTCCATGAAAAATTAGTCACATTTTTTTAGATGCGCGGGATGAGAAAATTAGCTATATTTTTCACGGCATCAAATATGTATATTTAGTAGAATATCCAATATTTGGTCGTTACTAGTCGGGTCATCGATCACTCTGTTTGGATTTGAACGGCCGAGTTGTGACTGGCATTGAATTAATGCAATGAATTTCATTGCAGGGCCGCTCAGGGTGAACGTCGAAGTTCTGCTGCTGAGTCTCTCATCACCTGACGAGTCTAGTCTCGTGAGTATCATTGCTATTGCTGCGTTCTCAGCTGTTAATTGGGTTATTTATTATTTTTAATCGGTTACTATTGTATATCTATTGATGAATTTATACTATTGACTTTAGAATAAGCACGATGCGTATCGCTTCCTAACGATACTACCTATACATCTAAACGATACTACCTACACAATACACATCCTAATGATACTACCAACATATCCTAACGATACTAATAATGCATCATAACGATGCTACCAACACATCCTAACGATACCACCAATACATCTTAACGATACTACCAACACATCCTAACGATACCACCAATACATCTTAACGATACTACCAACACATTCTAACGATACTACCAATACATCTTAACGATACTACCAACACATCCTAACGAAACTACCAATACATCTAAACGATACTACCAACACATCCTAATGATACTACCAATACATCTAAACGATACTACCAACACATCCTAACGATACTACCAATACATCTAAACGATACTACCAACATATCCTAATGATACTACCAACTTATCCTAACGATACTCCCAACGCATCCTGATGATACCACCGACGGTTCCTAAATTATAACTAAAATCACTTGTAGTGATAATTTAGCATTTCCCCTCTGTAAATTGTGTTGACACTGAAACGTGCGCATATTTTTATTCACCTTCGTTAAGTAAGCTATAAATTCTTGAAGCTATACATTCTATTCTGTGTTAATACCACACATTCACGGATATTTTCAGTCATATTGTGATGCCTTTGGCATTATGGCGTGAGTTAAAATTGTAATTGTAAATTATTAATAAGTTAGTATCAATCGGCATCAACAGAGTGTAAAAACCTAAAAACGATTGAAATAATTCATATTAGTGAGAAGATTTCCAAAATGTTTCTATGTCAATTCAAGTTTCAGAAGCATTTCTACTATGTGCGTCCTCGTAACCATCTACACTCGGAGAAAACGAAAATCGAAATTCCAAAATTGTTAATTAATTTTCCAGTGACCAAACGGTTAATTATATATATATAGGGAGTTTGTTGTTGATGCGTCCTCTGTTGTGATCGGGCAAAGGATATCTACTTGTTTTGCTCTGTACCAAATTTTTATTCTACAAAATTTTTCAGAATTTATAGTCCTTTGAGACTCGTTGTGACGATTCACGACAATTAATTAAGATTTTTTATTAGAAAACAAGAGGCTATGTTTCACGCTTCAACGACACAACAATGTTATGGAGATGACCTTGGCCTTTGTGTTAACAACAGAACTTAGCCCTTGTGATAACAATAGAACAATTATGAAGGATCGTTACTGCAATGATATTCTCTAGATTCCATTTCGCAGGTCGACGTGCTGTAAACCATTCAACTAGTGTAATATGTGTATGGCGGAACACAATTTTTGTGGATTATTATCATTATTATTTTTTTTTTAGAAAATTGTTTCGCTTCTGATTTTACTAAAGAGGTTCGATTTATGTATGACTAAGTAATGCATAAACATAAATTTATTTCATGACTGTAATATGGAATCTCGTTCAACTGTGAACTTATTTTCTTGATTCTTTGAATTTAGTTGTTAGCGTCTTGGGACGAGACTGAATGTTATAGCTCCAACGTGATTGGTTGAGCTGCTCCTGGCCTCGCTACGGTGCGAGCTTATTCCTCTTGGTAGTCATGAAACGATGGAGAGTTCGGTCACTTTAGATTTTAGAATTAGTTTAGGATTATTAGATTTTTAACTGTGATTAGTTTGTCAAGTGATTAAAATTATGATGACCTTATTGTATTGTATTATATTATTATTTTTTTGCACTTAGAAAGTGTTAACAGTCTGTCTTGTGCTCTTTATAGGCGGGGTGTCGTGTTGCCATTGTTTTGGTTGAGTCGCCCCTTGCGGGCGAGTGGAAGTTGTGTGTGTTCAGTGGTGCTGGGTTGGGGGCGCATCGGTTTCGACTCTAAGTAAGGAGAGTCAAATCTGGGCTTCCAAAAATAAACTCGTAGAGAGTTTCATTAACGGACTAATGACGGCATAGGTGGAGTTCTTGGTTAGTTCCGGATTTTGGCTGCGTTGGGCAGTTAACAGCCGTTCCATTCGCGCCCTCGTTTCGTAGCGGATAATTACCTCTGCGCTCGAGTAAATTGTCAGCGGCTTATTGGGTGGCACGTACCCTTCAATAGTCGTACTTTTGAGGCGTAACAGCCACCCCGTTCCTGTGAGGTTGTCGGCATCGTGGTGCAGCTCATACCTGTATCCTTGCTATCCGCTTTTATGGTTCTCGAGTTTATTAGGTCTCATCAACATTGTACCCCTGAAGTTGAGATCCTGTCTCCAGGAGCTTTTGGACTTATAGTGAATAATAAATTGTGTGCCTTGTACAGTGGAATTTGTGTATCGCCTGAAGATCAGCAATATATTACGAAAGGTCCTTCGTGTTCATTCCTCCTCTCTCCAACGCAAGGGAATTTAGAGCCGGACAAAAGAGCGACTCTTTAGCCCTTGTGTTAAAACCAATACGGAAGTCACCACCAAGTCGGCACGCTACCCACAATTATTTCGACTTCGCGGCGGTGTTTCCGGTTACATGAAATGAAATGAAATAGCGGTTTCAGCGTTTATTAGGCCGTAGGCCTGTCGCCGATTCTTAACATCGCAGATCATTCACAGCATTTCGCGGTCTTGAACTCGCAACTCACTGCTACAATTCTACTGTGCTTAACCGCCCGGCCTCCTTGCCGATTCTGACCAGAAACTGGCGCACAGAGCTGGGTTCGAACCCGCGCCTCTCTGCGCCAATCTTGGTACTCTGAACTTTAACGAACTTTAACTTTAACCACTGAACTTTAACCTACATGTGCTTATTATAAAGTTCGAGTACGCCAGTATGACAATTTAAAGAAAATAATTGATCAGAATTCAAGTGATGCAGTACAGTACCTATTTCATATAAATAGTGTCCGATCACTGCATAAATTCTGTCTCCTATAAATTGTATAATCCAGTACAACCGAAGCTATCATCAAAGCTCTGATGTATTTCCTATTTATTGTGTACGACCACTGCAGCAGTACAGTTTACGCAGCAGTGCAGCGTTATTGTTTAACGTCGGCAATTGATGCTCACGCCACGCTGGGGCACGCACGTCGTAAAAGCAATAGACCGCCTCTATTACCGCGACGGTTCGAGCTGTTATGACCTGTTATTAATGAGACCCTGCACTATAATGGCCGTGTGTGGTTATGAATTCGTCGCTCTAAACAAGAGCCATTTGTCATCCAAGAGAATTGCGGCCGTGCGCTGCTGCACTGTCTTCCACCGCCGCCTTCATCATCTACGAAGCATTGATCGAATACGAGAATAGAAATGGTGCATCGGCCTTGACTTGCGCTGGGTTCTTTGTATTTGGTTTAATTGACTTTCAGAATTCATTGTTATTTTTCATTGAACATAATGTGATTCCATTCTTTATGAAATTATTTTATTTTAAACTCGCATAGACCAATACTTTTTTCATTACTTCGTTCTTCCCCTTTTTATCCTATATTTTTCCTTACTTATCTAAATACCGGTAGTCTTCATTGTGTTTCTTTGATCCTCGATTTTGCTTTACAGCGACTCCGTCGCTGTGGACATTAAACCCAACCATTCTTCATTCTTTATGTGCTGTTGTATCTACTACGTGATTGGTTCTATTTACGTCTGATTATAAATTTCCGGGATTCAAAAATTTATTAATATTAAATATCATACGCCTCAATTTTAAATACATATACGTAGAAGGAGGTGCGTTCTTTGGAGTGAAAAGCATCTACTATCACCGTTTTCACTTGCATCGTTGACATCTGCCGTCACTATTTTCAATCGGGCTTGTCATCCAATAAATAACGAAATGAGCTTTTTATTGGAGATCCGATGGGTCGAATATTAAATTTTGATCCCTGAAAAGTCGAAAGCTGGAAGAAGTTCTTCGCTATTCGCTATATTTTTACCACCGGCTGTCTTTCATGATGATGGTAAACTGAAGGTGGCTGAAGATTAGCAAAAAACGACGCAATGTTTCACTGTTTTATGGAAATTTAATTCACCAACATTGAAAGAAAATTTCAAGACCTTTAACTAATTCTGATGTAATGATAATTCGTTTAAAAATTACCGCACGTGTTATTCCTGCAAAACTGTCTCACAATTGATGCACAAATGAAGTATGCTATTTAAGGAATTCATAAAGATGGCCTTATCTATTGTAGTTTTATTGAGAGTCAGTATTAACGACGCATTAACAAGGCCCTGTATAAATTGAACCACTTTGCGTTATCTGTGCAAGCGGCCCAACGTTGCATTGATGCATTACACCCTTGAAATAACTTATTAGGCTTAGAAATATACAAGAATTAGCGCAGGTGTCGTGCTATGAACATTTGCAAATTATCAAAGTAAACACGATTTATGAGAATTAATTTTTTCTATCGTTACGCCTGACCGTGGCGTGAAATTATTTAAGGTTTGCGTGCCTGCAGCCTCATAAACGTTGACGCGTTTTGCTTTAAAAAAATTGTTTCTGCAAGCAAATTCCTGATGTCATGGACTGTTTCTGTCTGGGGTTACATACTTGTAACGAAAGTATGGAAGTGTGGCTTTAATTTAAGGAACCTGCATGTACGAAGAGTATGTATATTTAAATATATATTGTTTTTAAACAATACTCAACCTTGTTTATTGCAATCTTGAAATTTTTTTTTCTCTACGAAATTGTTATAGCTACTATCTTATAACTCAGCATGATGTGGCTCATTAGTTGTCAAACCAGAAACTTTGGTTCGAGTTTGTTTTGTTTGCTCAAAGGCAAACAGAAGCAAAAGTATGGTATGGTAATTTTTTCTCATGATACACTTGCAGAGATCAAAATATACGCTTATTCAGTTCCTGCTGTATTCACAATGGTGCATTCAGAAATGATTTGCATACATACTACAATTTGTGCATGCTACAATTTCTGTAGTGTCTAATAATCCATGCAAACTATCCATGCAAGTTTAATGATCATCTCATTCATCTCTTCGAAGATTTATTCAAAACAAGAATAATTTTTGGACAAATTCCAGTTAAAGTTCGCTCAAAGTAAGCAAAACATGATTACGAGTTCTGAGGCCTAATAATTTGTTGGAATCAAATTATAAGGCTTCAGCTTCTGCGCCATTAACAATTCAGAAAAGTCGTCTTTCTTATTGGTCCTGCATTTTGCAAATTTCTATACATTTCGTTGGCTGCATAAACTTATATGAAAATTTTAATACTTGATCAAAACATTGACTAAATTTCATCCCTGCAATTTAGGTATATCTATCTGAGTGAGGTGCTTGTTGTTGACGCTTGTGTATTATACCACTCGTGCATGAGACCGAAAGTTGTTATAAAAACGTTAATGAGCATGTTAAAAGCATGTTATTGCCTGCAATTAAAGAAACTTTCATTTGACTTGATCATAACAGTACATTTTTTTACTCATTATAAGACTTTAGAAGATTTATAAGAAATGACAAAAGTCATTGAAAAAAAAAGAGATTGATAATGCTTCGATCCAATGTTTTCCCTAATATTATTTCCGAAAAATCTTGCTTAGGCGAAACTTAAATTTCACATGTATAGCCAATCAACAAAAATATATAAATAGCGTTAATGAAATGGTCATTGGATAAATGTTCAAATTTATTAGTTTTTTTCTAAAGCGACATTCTAGGCCATAAGCACTGCCGTGAAATAAAAATTGCATGCAAAGCTATTGCCAAAGATAGCTCTTAGGCTGTCTCTGCCTAATTTAACGGCGGTTGTGTGCAAAATAACTAATTTTACTCGCCCTTACATTACCTTGGCGTCAAGTTACTCTCTTCTCTACTGTTATTCAAGGCTGTAACGTCTAATACGGGGTTCATAAATGAAGCTGTTGCATGCTCAAGTTCAGTTCCTTGCGCTTTTATCCGGTTACAGCCATCGACCGTGTTCAACCATTCATTCCTCGCCAGTGAAAGCAAAGGTAGCAAAGGAGTTTCAGGACTTGAAGGTTATAGCTATCATTGAATGTGAGGAAGAGGTTGTCAATTTGCCATCATAGCATCACGAATATTGGTTGTACGATGTTTGAACTGCTATAGTGTGGGACTTGACTGCATGTTGCTCAATTTTCTGCCAGCCTGCATTGCGCCACATGGCCTACAAGATTATCTTTATCTTTGTTTAGGCTCAACATGTATGCGTGCACGAAAAAGCATAGTACTGTGTATGTTTTGAAAATCAAATATCCGCATTATTTTAGTAGTGAGGATATATGCTATTTAGTTGCGCGGATAAATCAAATAGTATTTAGAATGCGAGAGAAAAAGCCTGCGTGAATGAAGTCTAAAATAATTCCAGAATTAAAAATCATGAAATGCTTTTACGGCCGGTATTATTTATAAAATATATCAGCCCGCAATCTACAAAATTAAATTATACTAAATTTATTCAAGTTTAATAATTTTACAGATGTTCTCTGAGATCATTCATGGAAGGAATTCTGTTTCAGGTTTTAAAAGCCATGTCCTATTATTTTAACAAACATAACAATAATACCAGCACTAAATCATCCACGAAAAATTTTACAAACTAAAATACAGAGAAAAACAAAGCAATTAGTTAACTAATTCGCCTTTGCTTTAATTTAGTCAATCTGAAATGAATCTCTCAACTAAAGCTATGTCTCATCTACGAAGTTGACAGTTAAGTTAGTTAACAGTTAGTTCGTCTTATCTACATAGATTTCATTTGTTTTATTTATTTATTCACACAGGAGCACACGTTACAACGAAATATAGAAGAGACGTGAAATAAAATAGCAAGGCTTTCCGGTGAATGCCCATATAGGCTGTAAAAAAGCTTCGCAGGCAACACAATAGGTACGAAACTCAATTCCAATGATAACAAGACGACGATGAGAACAAACAAGTAACAAATTTCTAAAATAATCAAAACCAAATTGACAAAAGCCTTAAAAAATTGATAACCGCATTTCACAATGGAAAAATCAGCATAAAAGAGTCAATATCAACATTACACTTGGTAAACAGGGTACAACTGCAAACATCTAGCCAAAATGCTTAAAACTTGCATAATAATCGAAGTCAAATTAATACTGGTTAAGGATAAAATAACGGAATTGTATTTTAAAAAACATTTTGGAGCAATCTTGTTGAACTCTTCTGGCAATTCGTTAATATATTTGACACAATTAAAAACGGTACCGCTTATTCCTATTTCTAAACGAACCGGTGTTATGTTAAATCGAATGTCCATGGTGTTGTGAGAATGTTGGAGAACACGAGTGGCGAAAGCAGATTTAAAAAGACGTTCATCATGTTAAAGTGCTCTCTATTCATGAATTTTATAAGCTGAAATCTGAACATATCGTCAAGTTTTAAAATTTTCGACTACCTATATAATTAGCCAGTGCATGACAAAGGAATATTATTGGTTGACAGTTAAAGTAAATCTTTTCCTGGAAGTATTAAATTTTAAGTTTAACCGTCGCCAAGATGCCCAAGAATATAAGTAATCAATCGGCTAATTTTAATAGTAATAGTTAGGGCGCGAATCTAAATACCTCATAAACTCCATCAATGATGACCCAATCAATCTTGTTGACGATTTTCTTTAAAAGATGCAATGTTTTTTTGTCGATGCACGATGCTATGCTAATTTTCTTTCACGCAGAAGGTTGTGAGTCTGAAATCAAGAGTTAGTAGAATTTCTTTTACAATCGACTCGACCGGAAGAGTTCTTTGGTAATCTTAGACAAAATCGTGTCAACTTGCATAAATTTAGCATTGACACTCGCATTAAATGCTGACGTTTAATTTCAATTTTATCAATATTTAACAGGATCGTCGATGATGTTTTTGATGTGCTTCTACAAGGGGAACTGATTAGCCGATAGTGGTATTGGCAAGTACTTTTTATTTCCAAATTTGGAGTAATTTCTTGTATTTTCTGGCCTTTTTTATAATTTCTTAAAAGTTGATATTTAAAAATAAAAATTGATGATTTTTCTTCTAACGTTAGCCTGATATTCGAAGTGGAAAATACTTACCACTACCGTTATCGGCTAATACTTTCCACGTCTATATGAACATTTTACGATCATTTTCATGGACTCGAAGTGTTGGATTAATTTTTCGACTCAATTCTTACTATTTCAGCTTAGGCGGTTGCGCATGTAAAACCCGATCTTTATTAGATCTTGAAAAGATTACTCGAGATTATGAGTCCAATGAGTTTGAGTCTATTTTGCCAGAAATGAAAACAATTATATACGTCAGCTCTATGATTACTATTTTATGAAGAAAATATTTTTTATACTATTTGCATGATCTCAATCTAACATGTTGTCGTGCATAAGCGAAGCGACTAATCGTTTCGTGTTAATGGAGAAACAATTACGAGTCCTCTCTCTAAAATTTAAGAGAGCCTGGACCTCTGTCACAGAGCTCTTGCACGCAACAACTCATCCGTATTCCTAAGCGCAAAGCTCGTAGAACATTTATTTGAAGCAATATTTGCTAGAGTCCTCTTTTAGAGCTCGTTTTCAGAGTGCCCATAATGGCGAGTACTAGCGAGGGTCGCATGATTGTTCAAGCTTTATTACAGACCCGCCTGCTCAAAATTTCTTGGAAACTCTGCTAGCTTAGAGAAACTATGAGCCAGCTTCTTCCAAAAATGATATGCGTTACTTCGGCAATAGGACGAAAATTTCAATGAGACATTATAGTCTGATGTCATACTTTTTCAGCTGCTCTGGAGACAAAAACTTGTGATTCGGTTCAGCCGAACAAAATGTTCATTCGGGATTTCGCCCAAGCATGAATGAAAATTGACGACCGGAATTGAATGTTCTTGTACTAAAGTGTCATGTACTTTTAGCTTAACAAATGTTTCTTGACCGCTCAATTCACGTAAAGTGAATTGACATTTCGAAAATAGACTATTTAATAAACATAATTTCGAAATCTATTGTCCAATTCTTCGCTGTGAGAAAACGGTTACGGCCTAAAACTCATTATAGGCTTTGCATAAAACTTCTCGAGAGAAGGAATTAAGGAAAGTAAGGAAATTGAGCAATATATTCCCATCACTGCTCTGAAACATTTTCAATTATGCCTATAACATCTCTAAACATTTTTGCAGAAATACGAAGTGGAGTTCCTTTTGCGGCAAGTCTGGATCGACCCGCGGATGAAGCACGACGACAACGGCCGCCATTCCTACCTCAGCGGCATGCATCATGTTGTGAGTCTGCCTCATAATTCTTTATTGCTTCTGCAGTGTCTTGTTCTCACTCAGCTTAATAATTTACTATTGCTTTTACGATATCACTTTGTGAGTCACCTTCGTAATTCGTAATTGCTTCTGCAACGAAGTAATTGATTCGGTATTGCGACTTGAGTGGTTTCAACGAAGCCTCTCTTCACCCTCTGATTAGGTTCTATTCTGTAAGACATATTGGTCCTGTTCTAAAGTCAGCTATTTTCATGCGATCGTTTGACAATAGGATAAGAATAAGTGTGTTTCTGATTGGACTCATCGTGATTGAGATGGGGAGTTTAAACGTTCTTTGTGTTTTGAGAGTTCTTTCATTTTAAAATTTGTATTTTATATTAATTATTTGTCTATTCAAATTGTATATCTTCGTTGAAAGTTAATATCACGGTTGATGATTTTTGCCATATAAGCAAGGATTGTGCCAGCAATCCTTTCCACACCACTTTCCTCTGAAATTTGTGTTTTTTTTTTAATAATTTCTTCTCATTCAATTAGTTCCCATTTCATTCCTTCCTCTATTTTTTGCATTAAAATTTCAGGTATTCGAGATTGGTAGCTGCATGCTGCAACTCTTTCTGTTGTCACAGGGTATTTCAACTCTCGTATAGGCTCGCTCTCTCTAGACGGCAACTGTTACGTCACCACTCGAATGATGTTCCTCTGTCTCCTCTCTTTGTGGCAGCATGTTGCTCTTTTTGGCGCTGAACTCAACTGTCGACTCCTCAGTTTCTTTTCCTTAAAACGCTTGTAGCCTCTGCCAGGCATCGCACTATATTTCGGCCAAACTGAGTCCAAAGTCCACGGACAACTGTCGCCTTCCATCGGATGCTCTAGTCACAAGTGGACCGCTTACTTTAATGATTTATTAGGTTGCCTTGAACCGAAGAAAAGAGCTATTTTGATCCTATCGGAGTCATTCAATATTCTAGTCTATACTTTATTTTAACTTTGATTTAACTACAAAAAGAGTTTTTCGTGCATTTAAAACTACGGTCATTTTATACATCGGTTTCCCAAACATCCCAATGCAAACACTCCGTATAAACATTTGTGAAAGAAGTCATAACAGAAGTTCATATCTGTGACTACAAATGCATGCACGTATTTTCTCATCTAGTGAGAAAAAATGCATTTAATTATTTCATGTGATTTATTAAACCCGCACAGTTTGTCGTGGTCATAGAAATGCTTTCGAAAATCAGAACGGAGCTATTCGGCATATAAGTGAAAGCGAATAAAGGCAGTTATGTTTATATAAATTATTTACTCTGAGGAAATGAAAAGATTATCAGTTGAATGGATTATTATATTAGGATTATTATTACGCATTTTAAGCCCGAAATCTAGGCCTTTATCTGAGCAGACTATTGTCAGTTCATGAACGAGGAGACGTGAATTTGGTAAAACCATGGACATCCTCGAGGAATGATGTGTTGGTCAATCGGCTCCTTCGTTGCCGGTGTTTCGTCGACGACTAAAGACGGAACTATTTCGTAGAGCCTATCAATCTAGTGCTTAGTTATGTTATCCGTTCCCATCCTTACTTGTGTCTATTTATTTTTCGCTTACTATTAATCTTATGTTTGACGTGCCCTAAAAGTTCGTTTGAACCAGACGCCACGAAAAATGCTTCGTATAACAATAACAATAATCATGAGACTGCAGTGGCGTGAATCATTCCATTGTTCATTAAAGCTTGCGTGACGTCTATCATACACCAAACTATGTTTTTCCCATAACGCAACTACACGTAGACTTGTGCTGGACATAAGTTCTCAACTTGGTGCATAAAATTATCTGCTCCGATTTCTGCAGTTGCTTCATTTAACGAATTATTATATAAATTTGCGTTTCGTGATAGCGTTGGCACCCTGAATTAGTCGGTATTCGTGCTGATGGAATCGCTAACCTCAAGAGATAACTAATCCCGCTAATGGATCGTTACTGCAGGGAACGGCTTACCGCACTGATTGTATACAATTTAAACCGTTGTTTCTCGTATTTTAATGACACTTGTCATGTTTTTTTTTTTTTTGTGGTAGAAAGGGAATGAAAATATAGAATCTTGGTGTCCATCTAGATTTGAGAAACTAAGTTAAATTCCCAAAAAGCAATGCCTACTTATTTTTGACGTAGTATTAGTTTATACTTTAAACTATAGCTATACGTTAAAAACATTATAATGTTTGAGCTGATATTTATCATTCCGGTGTGAAAAAAGTAATCAAGTTCTTATTTTTATGTTGCAGTCGTAAAAGACATGCCAGTCAATGATTTATGTATCCACACATTATAGGACATTTCTTAATGATAAAATATTCTCAGTCATTGGATAAATTACAGATCTTTTTCTAGTGTGGAAAATACAAGTATTGGATAAGTATTAATGGATGGACATTGATACAAACGAGTAGATGAAAAATGAGTGAATGGTGAGGTGTGATACCAAGAATAGGCGCTAGAATATTAAAATTACACGACTTCAAACAGGAGTGGAAGCAACATTATTTTGATTGAAAATAAATGGACGAGTCTTCGATGAACGATTTGAGAATCCTGACGACGATCCTTGATGATTAAAAATTCTCATCCCGGGAACTCTACTGAGTTTTCCGATGAAGAAGAAGAAGGCTAATTGTTCTAGGCTTGTAGTTGCTGCACAAGAAACAGCAGTTAGTGTCGTCAGCAGTCCACATATAGAGATAGGTACGTAAAAATGTAATTATATTTATTTGTTAATCATCCTTCTGGTCTTCTTGGGTACATCAATTTCGCATTTTCTGCTTCTAGCATCGAAAAGTATCGATATTGTGTATTATCAGTGTATATAACATACAACTTAGTCCGAAAATGTTGGAAAATCCTTTTCAGCTTCCACGTCAGCAGTAATGAAAACTTATCAACTGTTTCTTTCGCAACCGAGTCGGCGAGTGGGATTCTTTGTTCATTTGGAATGTAGAACATTCTTTGGTATTATTGCAGATTAACTACATCCAAAAAAAAGGGTGTTTTTTTTTAATTATATGTTTTTTGGGGTGTAGATTACGAATCTGAAATCCATTTTTGGCGGTCGGCATCGGAAAACCGATTTTTTTCGAGATACATTGCCACATCGAGAGATCACACGTAGCGCACGACATCTTGAATGAAACTTACCCGTTGCACTGCAACGGGTAAAGAAGACAAAAATGTTACCCGTTGCACTGCAACGGGTAACATTTTCGTCTTCTTTGTCCATAAATCTGGAGATACATTGCCACATCGAGAGATCACAACCTAACGCCAACTATGGATTTCAGATTCGTAATCTACACCCCAAAAAACATATAATTAAAAAAAAACACCCTTTTTTTTGGATGTAGTTAATCTGCAATAATACCCATTCTTTGCGTTTTAATTCACGCATTAAAGTAAACTATTTCGATCTGTTTTTTTCTCGCGAACTTGCAGTTATTCATTATAGTTTCAATTTACATTGTTAGGGGACAGGTTGTATATTTGTCATTTTGTATCAAAGAGAATTTGACGTGACCTTTGCCGAATTGCCATAGCTAGTTTAGTGACTTTAGTCTTGTGGTTGCCGTCGATGTGTAAGGTAAGTGTTGTGTAAATAGGAACGGTGAAAACTGTGGATATTGGGTTTACTGTCGTTCGTCATGCGTGTAAATTGTGTAAATATATGAGTAATTTTAATGGTTAGATTCGGTGCTTCTGATAACGATACAGTATTTATGTTCAAGTCGATTGTTTGTTAGATATTTATTCTTGTTTATTTATTTCCAGGAGTCTCAGTAAAAATGTAATACCTAGTACCTATTCTAGTCATCATCTCAGTAATGGTACTAATTCAAGTCATCAACTCAGCATTAGTCATAATCACATTTCAGTGCTAATATTTGCCAATAAAGATTCTCAAGAAAGCTTAGTTCTCACCGTGGCTAAACCAGGCTAATGGATGGACCTATACGATCACTTGGCTGAATAATGCATGGACGAAGATGTCTTTATTTTTCCTTCCTTAAGTTAAGGTGTGCATTAGTTCAAATTTGTATGACCGTTTTTCGGGAACGTCAGCAATTCCTTCCATTTACGTTCAAAGATAATAAGATTGTAATGATACTATATCTGTCATGATACTATATCTGTCAGAGATCTATAAATGCCTTCCGTGACTCGAGTAGAACGCCGATAGTTTAGACTTCGAACTGCCTTTACCTATGTCGAGCATTAATAAATTGTTAAATTGTTCCCCATTTTTTTGTCAGGTCAAGAACGTTATTTCGTTACCAGGTCATTAACGTTATTTCATTTCCAGGCAACTAAATAGCATATTGATTCTTGATTTGTGTGTGCCCAGTGCCTGGACAATTGCTGATCTTGCCGCGACTATGATGCTTGGCATTTTTCCAACCCTGCTAACTCGTCAGAGATCTTCTGTCATAATTTTGATTTCTAGATTCCGGCTCAGGATACCTGTGGCTGTCAGGGGTAGTCGGAACTTGCTTAGGCAAGAAATGTTCATGTGACTTCATATTCATTATGCTTCTGGACATTAAAACTACTTGGCTGCCGCTTGAATAAGGACTGTCTCGGGCGTGTCCGTGTGTTCTGAGATTTCGCAGTACATATTTTTCAATCGTGTAGTAAGCCAAATTCCATTTTGCAATAACTGCCGCAATGTTTACTCGACTTACTCGATTCGTGGTTGAATATTCTTAGTTTGAAAGTTTCCATTTTTGCGCCAAGTCTACTCGGCTATATTTGACTCATAGCCATTTAGTTTTTTAGTGTGGCCAATTCCCAGTAAAGATTTTTGCATCTTTCCCCGACATATATAAATGCCACAATTCCATTATTTTCTAACTTTTTTTTCAATAAAAAGTGATAACAACTTCAGTTTTGCTCAAGATTGTCCATTAGTGTGCGAGCACTGTGAAGTGGACATTGCATAAGATTACACCAAAGATGCTCCGTAGAAACTAACTTCCATATTCTATCGAGCAGCTTCTGTTTTAGTCATTTTCGTAGTCTGAAGTTAACGCTCTAAAATTATATTCCTAGTTGTAAATTTTTAGATCAACGTCCATGAAGAGATTTGATGAATATAAATTCTTCGAATAACACTTCGAATTCGGAGCGCATTTAGTTCGAATCAAGTTAGGTTCTCCTTGTAATTAGGGAATTGCTCACGCGCAGTGATTCTCCCTCTCCGGCTTCTCTAGTCTGCCATTGACTTGGTAAGGACAAGCTCATTACTGGCTAGAGGCCATACGCTGCACTGATCCCTTGAGTTAATTACGATGATCAATATTTTTCCTACGCTTTTTAAATATTTTTCATACCATGAAGACGTATTTCTTGTCAGTGATTAATGTGAGTTGTTCACACCGCCACTGATGCATTACGGGTTAATTAACGACTTACATCGTAATTATTTGAGTAATTTTTGTCTTCAGGTTATTTCCATCAACTCCCTCTTAAGATTTATTGCTAATATGGTCAAACCTACTCCTAGGCTGTAGGGATAGATAAAATTACGTGGCCAGAGCACGGGATGGATTGTTACTTTGAAATATTGTAACAAACCTTGCTTAATTTTAATTATTGAAGATAATAATTTTACGTCCATACCAACTTGGAAAGCAAGTTGCATCAATTAAGGATAAATTACTGTCAATCTCACTCAAATAATTTTAGATGCATACTAGTTGGCTATCAATCGCATATTCAGGATTAAAGGTTTCAATTAACTTGTGCAAATTTGTGACCAAGTTAAAAATAAATTTCCTTAAGACATGATATTTTTTTCAAATATTCCTGCTCATGGCAGACGGAATTATTTGTAGCAGGTGAATTTTAATGTTAATATCAACTCTATCTTTTTCAAATCATTTTCTTTCCTCGCGTGATGGAAATAATTATTTTGCTATATTTTTTAATGTCTAACAAGTATGAAATAATCAATGAAACGACGATTTTTTTAGCGAATTTATGTTTAGTAGCGAACGATGTTTTTGTAAATCCTATAGCTTGGTAGTCTGATCTAGGTATGAATAAATTCATCATAACAGTTTTTAGAATTTTAATTGTTTGAATGGTTTAATAAACTCAAGTGAAGTCAGACATATGAAACGAGGCCTGCGATCAAAGATGTAAAATTTGCAAGAGGATGAGTGCGTCTCATGATAATTACTGCTACCAGTTTCAGTTCAAGGTAAAGAACAAGGCTTTTTGAAAAGTTTTTTCTACCTATGGTCTAGTGTGACATGGCACTCGAATAGTTCATATGCCTGGAATTGTTCTATGCAACCTATCCGGATTCATCGATCGAAATCGAAAAGCTGCTTATGCAATCTTGAATCACAACTGAACTAACTCCGTTTTGACCGGAAATTAAAAATCCTCCAAATTTGGAAAAAAATGCTCTCCATTTTCCTAGTGCTACGCTCGAAATTCTGCGCTGTTTAGGCGCTGAAATCAACCGGGCAGCATCTCAGGCTAATTGCAGAAGCTCGAGTTGTGTCGGCGACCTAGGAAGGCAAGCACTGAGGTTATTTTTGAACTTGTGTTTGTACACCAATGAGGGCCACAAAAGGCGCAAGTTTCAACTTTCTGGAATTTGAAGATTTTCATGAATATTTCCAGCGCGCCAAGCGTTTTTCACGTTGAGAGGATGAGCGTTTGTGTTTATGTTGGCTACTAATTAAATTTACGGGAGGCTATCCAGTTTTGTATCTTGTTTATTCCCTGTGAAAAAATTGTGCTGTGTAGATTAAAAAATTTTGAAGTCCGTTTACCTTAATCTAATTGAATGATTAGTTTCGATTTGCTTATTATTTATGGGTCTCTAACGGCCTTAATAGCATTCATTACTCATTATTTATAATGCGTTACTATTCCAGTCACACTTTGTAAACTTGATACACTAAGGTGAAGCTTAAACATTTTCAAATTTCAACCGCCCTTTAAGGCGGAAATTTTTTCTTTGGTCCTAATGTTGCGCCGTTTGAATAGATTCATTGTATAACCCCTTTTCATGAACCGCGCTGCTTATCTCTTGAGTAATGAAAATTTCTACTTTTTTCCAGCATGAAATTTGGCTGCCAGACCCTTTCTTCATCAAACATGGCGACTTCAAGGAGCCTCTCTCGCCTGATCACATCGCTCTCAAGATCTTCAGCAACGGCACAGTGGATTACACGAGACGGTGAGTGACTTCGGATAATAATGCTTTGTTGATCATCGCGTTTTTCGATGATGCAAAAGAAAATTATTATTGGAAAACATCGCGTTTGGCTGCCCGGCATATTCCGTGCGTATAGCGGAATTTGAGGTAGGGAGAGAAAGATAGGCTTGTTGATAATCAGTTCTCTAATAATATCAGGAATGTTATTGCCAGAAGGCACGCCCTGACGACGCTAGCACCATACGCATACAGTTAGTCCGTGTGTTTGTTACTGTAAGCAAGTGGCTTTCAGCCCAACATTTCAGTTATGAATGTGACTACTTTTGAAAATAATGATGACAGTTGAAGTATTTTTCTCCAGCTGTTGCAGTTGCTATTACTTTTTTTACTATTAAGTGTAAAATTTTCAGTGCATTTTGACTGTGGGATGGATTGGTTGGAATAATATATAACCGTTGCAAACTATTGGTCTTTTTCAATCATTTACAGCATAAAAATCTCAGAAATGATGCGTTTATCTACGTATTCTGTTGGTCGCCACGATTTCACTGGTCAAGATATAAAGTTTACGATATTAACTTGAGGAACGAAATTTCTGCATAAGAGATACGTTACGGTGTACTTATAGGTTTATGTTGCAGCTCTCGTCCAACAGCGCCATACGGAGAGCTTTAACCGAATTATATATTATTCCTTCAATTTAGAAAAAATTATTATCTAGTCTCGTCTATGAACATGCGCCTATCAATATAAGGTAACGTTTCTTGATTTTGGTTGTTTCCATTAAAAGCTGTTGGGTCTAATTTAGACTACATCATTCTGGCTAAGTTCTAGCTTAATTGTCTAATGTCTTAGGCATTCAAACAATCAAATGCCAATCGACAGGGATCTTGCATGAAGTGTTAATGACATTACATTGATGGTTGTAATGAACATAACATTTCCCTAATCTCGCCGAACGCTGAGAATGTCACATCAATTACTTTCGCTCCACTGAAGACTGTATATCAATTTTCCCGTTGATTTATTTCTTAGAGTAAAGCTAATTAGATTAGATTCACAAACGCTGGACGAACTCTCTAGCCAAGGAGAATATTTGCAATATGTCTTAAGGGACCAAGTTGTCTTTCCTGATGGTAGCGCATTCAGCGCTCGACTGCTCCTGCGAAGCGTTGTCACCGAACGATGAGACTCTGATGAGCTCATTTCACGGTCTCTTCTTGCAGGCGTCACCTCATCTTGTCGTGTATCGGCAACCTCAACATCTTCCCCTTCGATGACCCCGCTTGCACCTTCTCCATAGAGAGCAGTGAGTATTTTTTCCCCTTCGATGATCCCCGCTTGCACCTTCTCCATAGAGAGCAGTGAGTATTTTGGCACGTGGCTAGAACTGTTTCCGAGCATATGCAGATTCGGTTTTATTGTATTTTTTTTATGTTTCCATAATTGCGTCGGGTGTGAAAAGAGATCATTTTCTTAATCAAGCTTACGATTCGCCCGTAGTTCCTTTGTTCTAAGAGGATTTCAGTTTAAATTTTTTCCCTAAATTTGTACTCGTCTACCCTTGAATGCATGCATCCTTCAAATGAGGATGATGATTTCAACTGAATTTACCTATTCTACTTCTCTGCACCTGCTACCCCTCCCCCGACGAGCATAGAAATTTTAATTATTGATCACCGCGTTTTCGCCATTTATAATAACAGTCAGCTTGGCAAACGTTATTTTCGCGCCTACTTTTGTATCTTCTACTGATTCATTTGAAGAATTTTCAATTGTTTCCTACCTCTTGTCGCTTTTTTATCGCGTCACATCTAAATTGATAAAATTTTTCTTTTCATGCACGTGATCTCGTGCAATCCAAACGAAGTTGCATCTCCTTACGACCCTCACGTCAGGCCGCTCGCTCCCAATGATTCGCGGCGTCGACGAGCAAACCAGACCGATCGATGAGACTACCAATCCAAAAATTCAAAGCATAAGATGCGCGCAACGCCTCTTGCACTTGTTGCGATTGAATGGGCACTCTCTTTTACAATCCAAGTCATATAGGTAGGTATTCAGAAATGCGTTTATTAAGACATGAATCTGATTGATTTGTTTGTATTAAGACCTGAATCTGATTGACTTGTATTCGTTAAATTCCATTTTACGGTTGTATCAATGTTTTTTTTTACTTTGAAACTCCATGTATTTGTAACTTCCCTCATAAATTATGTTAATTCCAACAGAAATATTGTCTTTGAATTGAAATTTGAATTATCTTTTGAAAGTAGAACATTTATATTTGCTTTCATTAAATTTAATAGAACTATCATGCTTAAAGCTTTTTAAATTTTTGCTCTGTGTTCGAGAGACAAAATTTTACGCTTCATATACGGCCAATCTCTTACAAACGAAAAATTAATAAGTTACACTAAGCGACAATGTATGTGTGGTTTAAAAAACGTTGTAGCTCGTTTTATGGTAGATACTGTGTGATTCATTCAATAACACTAGGTACGGTAACGACGTAATTGATGTCGAGCCTGGAAAAGCCTTCCTCAAGAATAATCTGAAAGTGCTCATGTTTTAGCGAAAATGAGTCGGCGAAATGACAGCAACTTTTTTATCGTAACACGAAAGAATTTTAAAACTCTTCCTAATAGTTTTTCTTGGCTATAAAATATAGCGATATGAGATTATTTCCTATAAATTTCTCAACCAAGAAGGACAATAATTTCAACCATGAACCATTCATTCTTGAAGTTTTTTGTTGCATATTTTAACTGTACGAGCGGCGAAATTACTGAGAACTTTAACTTCGAGCATGCGATCACATGATGATTTTTTCAAATGTTATACGACCAATTTCGTTCCTCATGCCTTAAACCAAATGATACTCAATAGATTCAAATTTTTAACATTTAGCCTTCATCAAAATTAAAATCATGTTGCTCGTTTGTAATATTGCCTCATGTTCTTTTGATGGCTTTGACACATAACCTGCATATACTTTGTCGTGCCAGAATTTTTATTCTAAGATAACTGACGATTTTTCTCTTCGCGAAGAATAAAGAATATCCGTTTTTTAGCTTCGATTGCACTCATTCACGCTCATTCCCACTTTTTTGCATTCAAGGACGCTCTAATGTAATGAGCGAACCCAGAAAATTCCTTAAATTATCCGTTGAATAAGAGAAGATGCCACCAGAGTAACGACCCTAAAATTGATATTTTTCGGACCGGCTTTTACAATTGTATCACTAAGACATTACTTTCTGGTCCGAGTTATGTACGGGGACGATATCGGATTTTAATTAGGTTGTAAGTTAATGCTGTCAGGCCGAACGCCCTTCGTCTGATATTTCATTTAATTTTACGAGCAAGTGAGAGGTCATGTCGGTTTCTCTTTGTCGAGAAAGGATTTTTTTTTTAATTCGGTGACAATTGTTCTGAAATTTCTGAAGTGACGCTAGAACCAGTTGATTTTATTTTGTAGATGAAAAAGAAATGAGCGATCAGTTCGTCGTTAAATCGCTCTAGATATTTAATTATAATTTCAAACGAATTTTTCAGGTATATTCAGATAATTGCTTTCACCATTTAAATGAAATTTTGTGCAAAATTTACGTGACGCGAACAAAATGCTGAGTAATTTAGTTGAATTCGATTGTGGATACTGACTGTGGTTAAGAAACGCAGCTGTGACAGTAAGGGATCCGTGCCGATAACCAATTCACTGGATGATCTTTGTTTTCAGTTCTTTTATTCACTCTGAGCCCAAATTTCGACTGAATTGCCGTACGAATCTGGATAAATTTTACATAAAATGCATTATTATTTATATTTCCGAATAAAAATTTTCAGTCGGTAAGTCGCCCTTAAATATTTCATTCAAAATCTGATTTTTCGGTAAGCAAATTCTCCCTCTTACGTGCCAAATTTTTGATCATGTCGCCGGTAATATTGGTGACATTGATCATCACAAGGAATGCGTTAAGAACGTTTCTCTTGACCTACAACCTGCAAGTATTCGATGATTGAAACGAAAGTTGAAGCATTGTTGTGCCGCAAATCCTTCATTTTTAATAACTCGTGGAATTTCGTAAGGCAGGTAAAGCTTTCGACGAGCGCATGTGGAGTTCATGGAGGAGAGTAAATCTCTCGGCTTTGTAGTCGGTCGCTCATTTTGCTTCATGAAGAAATGTGCAAAATTCTTGTTCGGTCGCACTGTTTTTTTTTTTCAATAAATTTGGGTGGATATCGTCTATATAGGGGATGAAATGCCCGGCATTCGGGACGACTCGGAAGCTGAATCGAACATTTATAAAACTGCATGGCATTCGTCAGTCAGCAGTAATTTTGTTGCTAACCTTAACGAAGAAAAAATAGTCTATCAATACCTAAAAATGGCTTTATAACGCGTGCCTCTGATCTTCAGAATAAGTCCTTCTAGCTGCGCGTTTATTTTCATTCAGAAAAACCCGCCACAGTGACAGTGACTGCTTGGTTTCATACAAAATTATTTAACTGTGACAGTGACACAAAAATTATTTGCCTGAGTCTTGATTATTACTTTATTAGCTCCATGTTAGGCAGTCCGTCTCCTTGCCCGTTTCTGTCACGTCACTGCGGGTAGCCTCATTGCACTTCTATGCTCGTTCCTATAGCGAGAGTGAATGTCTTGGTTTGTTGCTGCGCACTTAACCTATTCTTCGAGTCTAATTCAGATGCCATTGCTGTTCTTTCTAACCTTCTTTCAGCGCTCTTCAATTAAAAGATTATTGTTGATTATTTTATTATTTAATATAATAGTAAGCAATAATCTTGTGTATTATTTTTATTTGAGTATTTAATATCACGATAAACAATCTTATTATATATTATTTAATTATTAGAAGATTATTGTTTCATATAACGATGATTTATTTGGCTCTAGAAAGGTGCATATGCTAGCTTTATTTGCTTATTCTGAAGGTCCTGAGAACATTCTGCCTAACTCATTTCCCCTCGTTTATCACGGTGCTTTTAAGAAATTTGCCACTAATCGTTCGTTGCCTGGAAGCTGGAATCGACGTTGTATAAAATGTTGCGGGCCAGAGCGTAACAAAACCCTGCCCAAAGCACTTAATTAGGACTGGGGGTCCACCTCTGCTAGTGTTTCATGAATGTCTTTACTTGCTCCTGCAAATGATGCGACCGCTTCCCATATTTTTACCCTGAAAATATCTTGATAGAAACCGGAATGATTTTAGTGTTATATTCTCTTTGTGCAAAATACGGCTCAACTTTAACCTAAGTCATTGTAAAGCTGTTCTTAGAGGGTTGATTGATTCACGAACTTCTTTTCTCTTCCAGGAATGAGGTCACCAAACTAGTTTTGGATGTGTGACGTTGTGATGTCGTTTACAAGGGAAATACAAGCGACGTTGTGATGTTTAGGTGCTGTTGCTCTAAATCCGATTGAATTAATCCGCGTCGGTACAATTTTGCTGTTGGGTGACTGTTGATGCATGCACTATCACTTTTAAAGCAAAATTTCTAGTGGTCACCTTTTTCTACATGTATTGTTCGACTAACTGATACGTCAGAATTGTGTAAATCAACTTTCATGAGAAATTCCACCACTTAACTGTGTTATCTGCGATCAAACGGCCGTATGAGATATTGTTTGTTCTTGAGTTTTCCTATAGTTAAGATAACAGGCCGCTACTTGAACATTTCTGCTCGGTCGACAACCGTGACCATCTCGTGTATGATACAATCCTTCCAATTTCGAATAACCTGCAATGTAATAGTACGTAAAATCTCGCCTACTGGCTGGTTAGTTGAGATAATTCCCAATTTATGCATTCCAATCAGAGCAGTTGCATCATAATGCATTCTCATTCTTCTCACGTACTTGTAAATTTTTTCTTATTGTTCGCACCACTCTTTTTCTTTTTCTCACGGGATTATCTCTCAATTTACAAACTAACGGCTGCAAAAATTTCGTGGCCTGAGCCAGAGGCTGATCTCATCGTTTTTGGCTTGTCATGTCGCAGCTGCTACTTTAATTTCGACAACGATTTATGGAAAGATGCGCTTTACCACTTTTCTGACTTGAGTTGGCAACAAGCTATCGTATTGGCTGAAATTTCTAGCAATAGTTGATGTAAGAAGCATACCTTAGGGCACCTAAAGCATACTAAATATTTGAACATCAAACGTCAGTCCTGGGACTGTGACTTCCTTTTAAATGTACCGAAGTAGGTTCTGTCAGGAGTACTGCAAAGAAAGCGCTATTTGATCTTCCGCTAAAATGTGTGTTGGCGATTAAATTTTATT